GAGGGGTGGACCCGTTCATCTATTTTAATTTCCTTGTTTTCTAAACAGAAACCAGGCTTTGTTGGGCTGCTGGATAAAACCTGGAACTAAACGCTATTTCTGACATTTTGAATTAAAAAAAGCTTCCTGGATGGAAGAGAAACGTCTTCAAACTTGGAAACAAAGTCCAGTGGATTGTTTTGGAATGACTATGACCTGGATAAGTTGCTAACTGGTTATCGAGATGCTTCCGACAAACCGGCCACAACCAAACTTGCTTTCGAACCTTAGGCCACAACAATCCCGCCCCCTTGATAATCGACCAATCACATTCACTTTATTCACTCGTGTAAAGTCGGGCACCACTCGGGAGAGTTCAGAAATGCAGCTGTTGGAACAGCCGCTTCCCTACGACTTTAAAGGTCTAATTCTGACACCCAAAGACATCAAGTGACAGAATGATTCATGGAAAGCTTTAAGGTGGTGAAATAAAATAAAATTTGAAACAAAAAGTTTGAATGAGTATATCAGCACAATTGTTTTGAAGGTAATTTAAACATATTGCAATATATATCATGTAGCGCGATATAGCCCAAATATATCGTGATATTATATTTTCTACCATAAAGCCACCCGACCGTAAAACTTCTGGTTCTGTGTTGTTCTCTTTTTCAGACAAAGCCACCAATCCCTCCAACAGACAGGAAGACTGGGAGTACATCATGGGTTTCTGTGATCAAATTAATAAAGAGCTTGAAGGGTACGGTCACATTCCTTTAATAAACTTAATCTGTTGCTATAACGTTCAGTCGCTCGCATTGAATGGAGTTATAAGCGGCCTTTTTGCTGTGAGCATGCACACCTTTGCATGAGCTTTTAAAATGGAAATTCCTTTTGCTTTCTTACATTCTGTGATATTTTCCAGCCATCAAATATCCGTCAGGCTGCTGGCGCACAAGATTCAGTCCCCTCAGGAGTGGGAGGCATTGCAAGCATTAACGGTGGGAAGCTTTATTTCTTTAGTATGTGTTGTTGTTTTTCTGTCCCAGCGTGAAGCTAATGGTGCTTTCCGTTCTTCCGTAGGTTCTTGAGGCGTGTATGAAAAACTGTGGCCGACGGTTTCACAATGAAGTTGGAAAATTTAAGTTTTTAAACGAGTTGATAAAAGTGGTCTCACCTAAAGTAAGTAAAGTGTTTTTTTGTCCTAGAATTTTTAGTCCGTTAAGTGTCTTTGGTTGAACGATGAACAACCTGAAAGGTTCAGATCCTCAGTAATCATGGCGGCGTTCTGTCAGACCAGCATACCCAGAGTCAATACCTGTTTATCTCTGTAGTTTATCTCTGTAGTTTATCCCCGTTATCTACATAATTTATCCCCGTTTATCTCTTTAGTTTATCCCTGTTTATCTCTTTAGTTTATCCCCGTTTATCTCTGTAGTTTATCCCCGTTTATCTCTGTAGTTTATCCCAGTTTATCCCCGTTTATCTCTGTAGTTTATCCCCGTTTATCTCTG